TCATTCTTCATCCCATTCTTCATCCCATTCTTCGTCCTATTCTTCATCCCATTCCTCATCCCACTTGGCAGCCAGTGCAGCAGGGGGCTCAGATTTAGGACAGAACTGATTTAGGGTCAGCGTGGTGCTGCTGTCAGTGTGGTTTTCAATTATGTTTCAAGACCTTTTGTGTGCTCGCCTTGATTTATAAAACCTCCAGGCTTGGCACAGCAATGGCTTCACCTGTTTAATCTCTGTCTGTTTACAGGATTGTTTATATGAATTAAACCAGTGATTTTAATTTGGGGTTTTTTTTCTCTCTTATTTGAGATTTGTGTCGAAAGAGAAATCCAACACCCAACGAGCCGTGTGGATTTTGACCTCGAGCCTTGAGCAGGGCAGACTTAAGCATTTTTGGGGTTTTTTTTTCTGCATGGATATGCCTTAAACCTGCTGGCTGGTGGTGCCCAGCAGAGACTAATGTTCTAAAGGTGCTCCAGGGTTGTTGGGGCACGGGCTGTGTGTGACCTCCTTCCCTCGGGAAGGGTTTGGACTGATGCTTCCCACCTGCCAAATTTGTCCGTTTGGCAGCCGGGGCGGCCTGGGCTGACGTGGCTATATTTAGGTGTATCCCTCCGTGGCTGAGTTTATGAAGGCTTGTGTAGATTAGGGTAAAAAATTTATTTCACTCCTTGCCAACTCGCACATGTTGGCTGGGACGTCTCTGACGTGGTGCTGGAGACGAGGGAAACGAGGTTAATTCAGCCTGACTTGGAGCTCTTTGCAAGGCAGAATATTGAAGCTCGTTGCTTTGCTGCAGTTACTTCTTTGAAGCAACAAATTCCCTGTTTCCTACTCGAGACACTGTAGATCTTTACATATAATTAATGTTACAGCTGTTGGTCATCGTCAGGTGGGACCTGCAGAAAACTCTTCTCCTGCAGTTCCAGCTGGAAGGGGAAGGTAAAGGTTGATGTTTTCCAGGAGTGGTATTTGCCTTGAGGACAATTGGATGGGATGGTAAAAATCCCCTTGTGTGTTTGACTGGAGACAAGTTCAGTTGAAAGGCTCCTACCCTGGGGCTTAGGCCAGCTTGTAACTAAATGAGAAATAATATCTGTGGCCTGTAAATACATGAAAGTCTCCAAGCAGCGTGGTGCTGTCTGCAGTGACTGAGATGCTGTCTTGGGGGGCTGCTGCTGCTTCTGTTCAGCTCTGGTATTTCCCCAGAGAAATAAAAATATTTTACCCACGTTATTTGCAAAAAGTTCCAATCAGAACGTTTCACCGAGGGAAACGAGACGAGCTGGGAAAGGAAAGTTTGACACAGGCAAGTCCTCTGCCAAGGAAATGCAGGAGTGAATCTTGAGTGCTCAAAGCGAGGTGGGAAATGACTCCAGGATCTCTGGAGTGTGTCTCGGTCCCAAGTGGCTTCAAACGTGCCCCCGGGAGCTGGTGCAGGTGGTGCTTGTGCAGAGGGTGGGTTGGGATCTTGGGGACCAGAGATGCAGCAAATCCTGGGACAGTAAAGATTAGGAAGGGCCTTGATTTGAAGCTGTGTGAGGACACTGAGGGCACTTGGTGTGTTCAGCTGGAGCAGAGGAGACTGAGGGGAGACCTCACTGCAGTTCCAGTTCCTGGGGAAGGGCAGAGGAAGGGCAGGGACTGAGCTCTGCTCTGGGGGGACCAGGGACAGCACCCAGGGAATGGCTGGAGCTGTGCCAGGGCAGGGTCAGGTTGGATCTCAGGGAAAGGTTCTTCCCCCAGAGGATGGTTGGCACTGCCCAGGCTCCCCAGGGCAGTGGGCACAGCCCCAAGGCTGCCAGAGCTCCAGGAGGGTTTGGAGGATCCTCTGGGGCACAGGGTGTGACTCTTGGGGATGGGCCTGTGCAGGACCAGGAGTTGGACTCCATGATCCTTGTGGGTCCCTCCCAACTCAGCATATCCTGTGATTCTGTGGAAGCTGAGGACAGGATTGCAGAGGGCACCACGCTGCCTGTGCCCTCTCACCCAAAGGCTTCCCATGGGATCATCCATTAATGTATTTTACAGCACTCAGATGGTTTAGATGCTTCAAATTCTGTCTATTTTCACACTGCACAGTGTGAGACTGCGCCAGCAGAGGCTGGAGACACATCTCTCTGTCTATAAATACACAGATATTTATGCACACACGTCTGTATTTATATCCCTGTGCTGTTACTTGGGTGCTGTGGAGAACCTCAGCTGTTTGTGCACATTGGGGTTGAAGGATCTACCTCTCAGCAGGTGGCTCAAGGCAAAAATTCCCTCTCTTTGATGGATTGGAGGTCATCAGTTTATCTCTTCCCACTTCAGAGCACAGTGTCTGTCAGAGGATGCATTTTTTTGAGCTTTTGGCTGGTGACATGTCCTTGGGTTTGAAAGTCATAGAATTATTGGAGGTTTGAGTTGGAAGGGACCTTTAAAGACCAGCTAATTCCAGATCTCCTGCACTGTCCCCAGGTGCCACATCCACACACTTTGAACACTTTCCAGGGGTGGTGCCTCCACTGATGCCCTGGGCAGTCTGTTCCAGGGCTTGACCACCCTGATATCCAACCTAAACCTTCCCTGGTGCAACTTGAGGCCGTTTCCTCTCATCCCACCAGACTGGATTGGAATGGAGTGGAATGGAATAGAATAAGAATAAAATATTTTCAGTGGAAAGGAACTTACAGTGATCACCGTGTCCAACTCCCTGACCCTTTCAGGGCTGCCCAAATCTTTGCACTTCCATTGTATTTGCCAGTTTGGCATTCCCAGCTTTCCCCTGCTGAACATCAAACTGCATCAACCTCAGTAGTGGCAGATAATGTGAATTTTCTCAAATTAGCTGTTGCTCTCTCAGTTTTTCATTCTGAAGGGGTGATGCCTGAGCAGCTCTGGGGTCACCCTGTGGAATAGCTTTATCCCACTAAGATGTGCTTGGCATGTCAGTTCACGTTGCCGACTCAGAACTAACCTGCTGCCTTTGCCTTTTAACTAAAATCAAAATTATTTCCGTTTAAAAAAGCTCCTGGAAGAGATTAAATGCGCAGAACCATCACTTCAGCCTGTGTAGCAGCACTTAGATCATCCAGGGCTGTTCAGCAGGTAAATTAATCCACAGGGAACAATCCTAAATACCTGATTCAGTGACGAGTTTGCACATAAAACAGCTTTAGTGTAAACCAGTGAAAATTACGTTTCAAATGAACACAAATTGTCAATTAGAAAAGGGGCCAGCAGGACTTATTAGCTCTTTTTTTTTCTTTTTTTGTTGCTTCATTTAGAGAAAACTTATTTTGACACATAGTTATTTTGTTTTTCCTCAATTTGATGTGTTGGGAGATGACTGATGGCAGCTGCTGATTTGTTTCTACAAAGATTAATTAGACACATACCGAGATAGGCTTTTAAAATTAATGGATTTTAATGGATCAATGGATTTTTTTTTCCCCCTGTAAATAGACAACATAGTCTGCCTGCCCTGCAGACCCAGACTTTGAAATGGAGATTTTTCTAGAAAACCATTTCACACATATTTCTTAAGCAATTTGAGGAAGCAAGAGAAGTCTGTGAACATCTGTTTTCTGTTTTTATCTAATTTTCTTATCCTGAATTGTAAATGTGTTTACCTGACAGCAAACCTATGTTTAAATGCCAACAAACAAATACCAGTCCTTAGCAGTTGCATGCGTTGGTTTTACGTTTCAAAATATGTCGCAAACAACTAAATTTTGGTACAATTAGTGGGATGCAAAGATACTGATCCCGCTGCAGAGGCAGGAAACCCAATAGTGAGAAATAAAGCCATAGAAATAGGGGTGAAGGTTGAACTGTGTGGAGTTTGTTGGATGGATAAAGAACAGGCACAGCAGCAATTACAAGTCTTGGCTTTTTTTAATGATGATTTTGTGATTTTAAATTCTAATTCCTGTCATAATGTCATTTAGCATGAGGAATTCAGGCAGATGAGTCCTTGGTCAAGGAAGTTCATGGGATAGAGTCCAGCTGGGCACTGGAGGGGCTGGCACAGGTTGCCCAGAGAAGCTGTGGCTGCCCCTGGATCCCTGGAAGTGTCCAAGGCCAGGTTGGACGGGCCTTGGAACAACCTGGGCTAGTGGAAGGTGTCCCTGCCTGTCCCCACCCTGGCAAGGGGTGGAACTGGATGATCTTTAAGGTCCCTTCCCACCAAACCATTCTGTGATTCTCTGACACACTCAGATAAGTTGGTGTGGGCATTGGGACCTTCTGTCGGTGACTCAGAGACCTGGTTGTGACCTTGAATGAATATATGGGAGACTAAAGATGAAAGTCAGCAGCCCAAAGGGAGTTACAGCCACTGGGAAACTGCATCAGGATCCAGAAGACAAAAAATACCAGCAGGGAGAAGGTGGTGGTGGTGTGGATCAATAGTGTTGTCACTTCCCAATGTGAAAGTCGATGTAGCAATGCTCCTCATCTGTAAAATGAGATAATCGAAGGGAAAATGGGTGGATTGCAGTTAAAGCTTCATAAAAACCTGCTGTCAGTCAAATGAGATAAGGGGTTCAGCTTCTGAACCAAACTAATCCCTGGAGCTGGTTGTTGAGGCAGGTCAGTGGGGGCTTCTCAGTGTCACACCTTGCAGGGTTATAAATTCCTGCCAGCACCTCCCTGCAAAGGTGAAAACTGCAGTGCAAATTCAAAGACAGGAGGAGCCTTGGTAATGTTTCTTCCTCAGTAATTCCTGCTCTTTCTGGAACGGTGTATTTGAATACAATGCTGCACAGAATATTTAATACTCTCTGTAATTACAAATGGCTTTTAACAGTATGAGCCAAAACATTAGAGCTTAAATGTTCTTTTAGAAGTCGTAAGCAGCAACAGTATCATTAAACTAAAATCCATAATCTCTGATTTATGTGGATGTGGAAAGTCTGATGGGGCTCAGTCTTGGCTCTGGCGTTGAGCAGTGTGTGTTCAGCCATTCCTGCTTTGTTACTCACTTTGTTTATCATCTCTCTCCCCCCTTCAAGCCACTCTGACAAGTTACTCCGAAAATGTGGAACGCACTAAATATGGAGGGGAAAGCAGTAAAGAGCTTGGATCTGGAGGAAACCTGAAACCTTGGCAGTCCCAGAAATCCAGCATGGACTCCTGCCTGTACCGTGTGGACGAGAACATGACGGCCTCCACCTACAGCCTCAACAAAATCCCCGAGAGGAACCTGGAGACCGTCCTGTCCCAGTCGGTGCAGTCCATCCCTCTTTACCTTATGCCACGGCCAAACTCAGTAGCAGGTAAGAAATCCACGTTTGTGCCTTTTTTAGGTCGGGGCCAGACCCAGCACGTGGCACAAGCCCTTCTTGTGTCCTCCTTATCCGAGGAGAAATCTCCTTTCTGGAGTCGTCGTTAAGAGTGACAAAAACTGTCTGTTCGTTTGACTTATTGCTTCCAAATGGAAAATTCCTGTGGGGAAAAGTGGTTCTGATGATGCTCAATGGTTATTTCAGCGGTTTGTGGTCCCTCTTCAGCAGTTTGTGGTCCCTCTCTTACAAAATTGTACAACTGAAAGATTATTGGAGAATATGTTTAAAAAGAAAAGATTCTTTGCTGCCATTCCAATGCAGATATCTCAGGTTTGAAGTGCCAAGGCATCACAGCCATTTCTACTATTTCAAAGGGTTCCTTGTAAGTAAAATCAAGTGTCTGATCTTCTCTGAAGATCCTAAGAGCTTTGGAGTTAAGAGAATGGTGGGACTTTCTGTCTACACAGGGTTGGCTCTGGGTCCCATCTCTCGTGGTGGCCTTTGCCCCAAACATCTCAGCACAGGGGTGTCCTCACACCTCACAGCACCTGGGACTTACTGATGAAGAAAATCTTTTGTCTTGGCATCAAATCAACATTATTTTAGTTTAAATTCGTGTCTGCTGTTTAAAACATTCCAAAATGATGCTGTGCCCTCCCTTATTGATGTCTTTTCCCAGCCTGCCCAGTGTCCCCCTGAAGCTGGTGACAGCAGGGCAGAAACAAGAGATGGGATTAAAAATATTAAAGCTGCTTGCCTGGAATTATTCCCCTTTCCTTTATTGCCCCATTTTTTTTTTTCTTGCTGCGTGACTCCTCTGGGATAAAACATTCTGGAATGTGTGTGTCTGTGTAAACCTGGGGAGAAATCCAGGCTTTGAATTCCGAGTCCCTGTGGATTCTCCCACTGCCTGGCAGCAGGGATGCTGCTCCAGAAAGTCCAGGGATGGTACTGAGAGATATCCCAGGATACTGCCTGTTAAATCAGCATCCCTTGGTGAACCAGGCTGCGTTGCATAACTGGATTAGGTTCCCTTTTTAATCCCACTTTGGCCAGTCACAGACCTGAAAGCGATGGAGAAATGAGATTTTAGAGATGCTGAAGTACAAACAGCCCGAGCATGGGGGTGCAGCACGGGCTGAAAACCTGCATTTCAGGCTGAAAACCTGCATTTCAGGCTGAAAACCTACATTTCAGACTGGAAAGAGGGGATGGGAAAAACCTGGAAAGCTCTGCTTGCACATCCTGGTTACTTTAAAATAATTTCTCCTAAATAATGTCGTGCAAACACCTTCCAAAGCAAACAGAGTGGGTTTACTGTGAATTTAAATACATGTGTGTTGGTTTAATTGACTTTCAGAGTTGTTGTCTTGCTTGGTGTGTTTGGAGGCAAATACTATTTGAAGAGAAAACTACCCAGCAAGGCTCAGGAACACCTTTTCCTTCTGGATTTTTTATTTTTGGTGGAGTTTTTGCTGCTTTCTGTGTCAGCTTACACAATTCACGTCCCAGGATAAATCGTGGTGGTGTTCAAGTAGAATTCAAGATTTACCTTAACCTTTTATCATCCAGTCCTCACATGTTGGCTCCTATAAGCTTGTGGCACCAGAAAATTATGGATTTAGGTAATGGATTTATATGGATGTTTCTCCCCAGGCCGTTTAACCTCGTTATCTTTGTGCTTGAATGACGGGAAAGGGAAACCAGGTGTAGCTTCAGGGTTGATTTAAGCCCATGTGCAAATGTGCCATTGCCCAAAGAGTTAATCCTGAGCTGCCAATTCCATGTCCTTGCTCCAGCTCCACACATGGGATAACCACTTGATAAACCAGATCAGCTGACTAATCCAACTGAAAATGAACCCTCCAGAAAATTGGTATATTCGTTTATAACCTCAAGGTCATCAGCGTGGAGGCAAAGTGTGGCTGGGCAGGAAGCTGCCTTTCTTTTAGTGGCATTCCATGGTATTCCACATTTTAAGGTAATCACGAAATCACAGCTTTACTAAAACAGGCTCTTCTTGTCTTATTTTTCTTGCCTCGTTTTTTTTTTCAAATGCAGTTGAATTTGTATACAAACAGTCTGTTCTTGGGAACCAAAGCGTGGCAGCTTTTTTCTTTTTCACTCTGTTTTTTTTTTTCTCTTTAAGATTCTCCCAGAATATCTTCCAGAACAGCACAAAAATGTTCTTTTTCACAGCAGCTCACAAAGAGCAGTCACTGAACGTAACATGTCCCTGCTGTCAGCGAGCAGGTTACAACTGGGAGCAGCTCTTACAACACAAACTCTTCCCTGGGAGGGTGGGCAGGCCCTGGCACAGGGTGCCCAGAGAAGCTGTGGCTGCCCCTGGATCCCTGGAAGTGTCCAAGGCCAGGCTGGAGCAACCTGGGCTAGTGGAAGGTGTCCCTGCCCATGGCAGGGGGTGGCACTGGATCATCCTTAAGGTCCCTTCCCACCAAACCATTCTGTGATTCCATGATTAATCTCATCTTGCACTTCGTCATATAACGTACCTTCAGTTAAAAAAACCAGTTAAAACCACTTTAAAAACAGTTAAAACCACGTTGTTTTTTTTTTTTTGGTAAAAAAAAACCAACAAAGAAAAACATTGCAGGTTCCTGTAAGTGCCAGTGGGATGTGGCCGAGCAGATGTGAGTCTTGGTAAATCTCTTAGATTCAGAGGTTACCATATATGTGATATTTTTTAAAAACTCAGGTGTGGGAGCACGTCTGGTGGGCAGTGCTGAGTTACCACACAGAGTACAGACATTATTTTATATATGCAATTTTATATTTTTTATTATTTTAATAATATTTTATTATATTATTATATATATTATATACTATTTATTATATATTATTATTTTATATTTTATTATACATTATTTATATTTTATATACAAATTTATACATCATTCTATATATGTAATTTTATGTTTTTATTATTTTATTATTTTGATATTTTAATATTATTCTATATTGTTTTATTTTATATTACTATATATTATATACTATTTATTATATATTATTATTTTATATTATTTTATTATTTTATATAATTTATTATTTTATATTATATATTTTATGTATGCAAATTTACATATTATTTTATATATGCAATTTTCTGGCATTAATCCCTTGTCAGCTGTGAAGGGCACTGATGTTTGCCCGGGCAGCCAGCAGGGCAAAGCACTGCCTTGGAATGAGAAGGGGAACTGTGCTGAGGAAGGGAGACCCTTGGTGTTGGAGTTGGACATGCAGGTTTTGGAAGGAGCACAGATTTCTTAGGGAATTTCATGGGCACAAAGAACGTCCCGTTCTGTTTCTGTCACCCCTGAAATGAAACGTGAAATCTCGTGTTACTCAGACCACATGCATGGTTTATAAGGTCTGGTTAAATATTGATAGGGAATTAAAATGCCCTTATATAATACTAACCCTGCTCTTTTTTTTCCTGCCGGAGAATGTAAAATAGCAGCAAATACATTATTAGTTACAGACTTCAGTGGAACTTTCATGGAATCACAGAATCCCAGATTGGTTTGGGTTGGAAGAGACCTCAAAGCCCATCCAGTGCCAATCCCTGCCCTGGGCAGGGACACCTTCCACCAGCCCAGGTTGCTCCAAGCCCCGTCCAACCTGGCCTTGGACACTTCCAGGGATCCAGGGGCAGCCACAGCTTCTCTGGGCACCCTGTGCCAGGGCCTCCCCACCCTCCCAGGGAAGGATTCCTTCCCAATATCCCATCTAACCCTGCCCTCTCAGTTTGAAACCATTATCGTTGCAGGTATTGTTGGATCTGAGGGCAGGGTTTGAAGAAATGCCTGTAAATTCTGTCCTTTTAACAACATGGCCCTGGCAGGGGGTTGGAATGAGGTGACCTTTAAAGTGAACTGAATCCCCTCAGTCAGACAAGAGCAGCAAGACCCCCCTGCCTTCTCCCCAGCTCCCCCAGAGACCCCATTTGCAGAGTCCACCCCTTCCCTGGGCTGCCAAATGCTAGTTTCAGCTCAGGTCGGTTTGTATTTGTTGCTCAAATAGTGCATTGACACTGAATTATCTCCCACTATTTGCTGTTTCCCTGGGAGAATTGCATCTGCAGGATGCAAATATTGTGTCTGAGGAGACACTTTTCCCCTCCGTGGTGTTTTATCTGCAGTCACTGGGTGTCATTACGTGGGATAAGGTTCAGGATTGAGGGGAAGCTTTCAACAGTTTAATATTTTCTGAGATAAATTGATCTTGCATAATTTTTGAAAGTGATGAAGCGTATTCTCAGGAAAAATTGCTCCCACTTCCTCTGGCCTTAGATCTCTTTAATTATTCCTCAGTTGTAAATCAGGAAGATAAATCTCAGTTCATCCTGAGCCCTGGCAGGGCACTTACTGACAATTGGGAAAATAACCCCTGGCAAAACTGCAGTGGATTTGCAAACAGACACTGTGTGAGAGTCTCCTGTTGTGGCTGTAGAAGATGATGATGATGATGATGAAGGTGGGAAGGGCTGCTGAGAAATAACTCCTCACTTCTTGTAGGGCCAGCAGTAAATCAGGCCACTGGCCACAAAGTCCACCCCTGCAAAACATCTGGGGTGGCAGCTGGTGCTCATCTCACAGGCAGGACAGAGGTGGAAATGAGACTCTTCAAACAACTAAAAGAAAAATAAAATGTACTGTCAGGATTGAAGTTCTTCCCAGGAAATGACACAGTTCTGGTTCTGGAGCAAGCAGAGCTGACAGGCTTTCCTTGATTTGTAAGGAAAGACTGAAGAGCCTCAGAGGGGGGTGGGTTGGGAGGGACCCTTAAAGTCCTCCAGTCCATGCCCCAGCTGTGGGCAGAGACGTCTCTACAAGACCAGGTCGCTCAGAGCCCCTGAGGCACAGTCTGGCATGGATGGAGAGATGAGGGCTGGAGGAGGAAGGACCACCCTGCCTGATGTGGTACCAGGCTCCTGGGTACCCTCAGGACGCTCTGGATCTTCCTGGGGGTGCTGCAGTGAACCTGCTCTTCCCCTGCGGATCCTCTGGCTCAGTGGCACTGCAAAACTGGGCAGAAATTGCAATGCAAAAGGCACATTTCAGGGGCCAGGCAGGAGTGACCCTGATGTTGAGAGCTCAGTGCCCACAGAAAATAACCCGTGTCCCTGCTAAAGCCCCTTCTGTAATTGCAGCATCTCGGCTCTAATCGATCCTTCACAGTCAACATCTAATCAACTTTGCATGAGTACAGGAGCATGAAGGACTTCTAAAAACAGACCTTGATGGTTTTATCCCCCTTTTTTATTTTTTCTTTCTCCTCTTGTTTATCTTTTGTCCTCTGTCTCCCTTTTTCTCTTCCTTAAAACTTGGAAAGTTCAGGCAATTTGAAGAATAGCGTTAAAAATTCCTGCCCCTTCTCCCCACCTGTGTTAGAGTCTGAATCTTGCTTAATTTTTGACTGCAGCACCATCCTGTAAAGGTGTTTACGTGGTCATTAAGAATTGTATGAAAAAAAAAGTGTTTCTCTTAGTTTTGAAATGTTCTACCTTTTGGTTTTGTTGAATTGTTGCATCTTGTGTTGGGTCACAGGGAGGGAGGATCCCAAGTCCGGTGCACTGAGTGACTCTGGGGAGCTGTATCAAAATATTTACCCAATTCCCAGCAAATAATTAACGTCAGCTTCCCAGGCAGCCTTTGGAGAAGTCATTTAATGAATTAGTTCAATTTAAAATAATAATCTTGTTGTGGTAATTGACTGAAAAACCAAAGAAATAGAAGCAGTACTGCAGACAGAGTGCTGAGCAGCCCAGGGCTGGTTTCCATGGGTTAAAGTTTAATGTGAATTTTGGAAATGGTTGTCAGAACAAGAGCAGAGCTGGTGATCTGCAAAGACTGATTTTAAAGTTTTCTGTTTCTAATTGGGAAGATTATTTCATGAAATGAAGTTTTCATTCCTTTGCTTTATAATACTCTGTAAATTCCTTGGCTGACAGGGGTCTGAAATGGCAGAATAATGGGTAAATTCAGATGCAAGGGATCCAAATTTGTTTTGTTAAGCCACATTTTCTCCTGTTTTCCAATCATCACCATGGCAGCAGCTTTGTGACCAGTGTTAGCTCTAGTCTGCTCCAACTGTGCTTATCCATGTAGTGATGGCACCTTCAGCAGAGACCAATAAATTATTCCTATTTAATCCAGCATTGCAAAGAAAAGTAAATTCTCCCATGAGCAAGTCACGTTGGAATAGTAAAGTTATCTTCTTTAGTTCAGATAATATTTTTCTCATTCATTTTTATTTTTTTTTTTGCTGGGCTGTTGAAAGTTTAATTTTTTCAGCCACTAATTCTGGCTTTAGGGACAGATAAATGTTAATATCCGAATTAAGTAGCTCTAAAATAACTGAGGAGGAGATTGTGGGCTCCAACACGAACTGCACTGGTGAGTTGTCTTTTACGTAGCAGGAAATGTTGAGTGTCTGTGTCAGCTCTGCACAGACATGGCTGAGTCTGTGACTGGGAGGAGTGAAATCAGATAGGAGAGACTCCATGTCTCCATTTTCCGTGTGTCTGCTTTTATTTAGGAACATCAACAGGAGCCCAAACCAGAGCAGGCACCAATGGGGCATGAGAAGAAGTCACCAGAACACTTCTTTGCTCCTGGCTGAGGGCAGTTGGAATTGCTTCATCTCAGGGTGGTTTTAACCGTGTATTTTGCTTAAAAAACCTGAAAAAATCCGATAAGCAGAGGCTGGAATGCAAAGGCCAGGGGCGTGATGTGGTTCTTTGCTCTCTCCTGGCAGCCACCAGCTCGGCCCACCTGGAGGACCTGGCGTACCTGGACGAGCAGAGACACACCCCCCTGCGCACGTCCCTGCGGATGCCGCGGCAGAGCGTGGCCGGCGCCCGGGCACAGCAGGACCTGAGAGGTGGGAGCTCCTTCTCCTGGGGGATTCCCACTCGGGGGGGGCTGTGGGGTGGGAGCTTGGGTTGCACCTGCCTTGTCTGCATCCATGTGAAAGTCAGAATCCCAGAACGGTTTGGGTTGGGAGGGACCTTAAAGATCATCCAGTGCCACCCCCTGCCATGGGCAGGGACACCTTCCACCAGCCCAGGTTTTCAAAGCATCACCCATATCTGGATTACTGACATTTTAACTAATTTAAGATTAAATTAAAGCCCCATCCAACCTGGCTTTGGACACTTCCAGGGATTCAGGGGCAGCCACAGCTTCTCTGGGAATTCCATTCCAGCCCCTCACCACCCTCACAGGGAATAAATTTTTCCCAGTATCCAAATCTACCCTCCTCCAGCTCAAGACCATTCCCTCATGTCCTGCTCCTGCTCCTCCATGTCCTTGGGAAAGGTCCCTCTCCAGGTCTCTTGTGGCCCCTTTAGGTTCTGCTCAGGGGACTTTTATACTGCTCCTGTTCCAAAGGTGCTTTTTGAGGAATCAGAATAGTGTGTCTCTGATTTCTCTGGCTTAGAAACATCTCAGACTTTCTCTGATTGGGAAGACTCCAGTTTTAGAATTACAGAAGCACAGACTGGCTTGGGTTGGAAGGCACCTTTTTAAAGGTCATCCAGTCCAGTCCCCCTGCTCGTGCCATCTCCAGGGAGATGAGGCAGCCAGTGTTCTCTGATTACAAATCCATGCCAGTGCATTCTCCTTCCAGCACGGAAGAATTCCTTCCCAATATCCAACCTAAACCTACTCTCACTTGGAAGCCACTCCCCCTTGTCCTGTCCCTCCAGGCCCTTGCCCAAAGTCCCTTCCCAGTTCTCTTGGAGCCCCTTCAGGCACTGGAAGGGACTCAGGGTCTTCTCAGAGCCTTCTCTTCTCCAGGCTGGACACCCCCAGCTCTCCCAGCCAATCTCTGATCCCCATGGGGTTAATATTTTGATAATTTATAAAAAATTAGAAACTTTAACGGACTACTATTGTTTTTTACTTCTTTTTTGTTTTTTTTTCAATCCAAAACCAAGGTTTGCAGCCCCCCCTTGCATTTTGCAGGGTGCCAGTGGGGAAGGAGCCCAGCAGTGACAGGGCCACTGTGCCAACGTGTCCCTCGTAGAGATGGTCACAATGCCCACATTCAGGCAGCCCTTTGCCTTCTGAAAGGCCTTTTGAGAGGGGAGATTTTTGTGGTTCTTCCTGGCAAATTCCACAAACAAGATGTTAGCAATGAGAAGAGGAGCCAGGGCTGACATTTTAGTGTTTTGTTTATTCCCAGGCAGCTCCAGCTCCATTTGCTCCATGTCCTCGGGATTTTTCAGCCCACCCTACAACTTCCATCCCCCCTTTAATCTGAGCTCAGTCTTTGGCCACATGCTCAAGCTGTCACTGGGGCAGCCCTGAATCCGCAGCAGAGCATTGGGTTGATGCTTCATCCCCTCATTTGTCATTGCAAAGATGAATAAGTGGCTGGGAAAGCTCATTTGGGATATTTTCAGGTTGTTTCTGTGCCTGGTTTATTCTCCCCTGTACTAAGAAAACGGGTTTCTTTTGGCCATGCATGAAACTTTCCTGTTCTCTGGGGTGTTTTTGAGCAAGTGCCACCATGCTGGGGTGAGGAACTGGGGAGCTGGAGGGCACAGGTTGGGTTTTCACCCAGCCCCACACGCCCGACCTGGTCCAGCCTGACTGGGCTTTGTGCCAAGGAACGAGCCCCCCAAAAATTGGATTTGGGAGCCGTGGAGGGCAGTTTGTAATTAAATCCCCTGGCTGGGGAGGCACTTCTAGAAATGCATTAGCAGGCAGTGAGTGAAGAAAGCAAAAGTTTGACAGACCAAATTTCCATATGCTGGGAGGCAGCAGCTTGCCAAGGCTGCGTAATTTGCAGTGATTGCATCCAAAACATTCAACTTTATTGTAGGAACAGAATCAAATTGTTTTCCAGACACACTTTTTTAAAACCCATGTAGCACTACATATTTTCTTTCTGCTTTTTGTTCTTTTTTTTCCCCCCCTCCCTTTTTTGTGACAGTTGCCTGAGGAGAACAGCAGCGTTTGGGTTTTTTTTTTTTTTGGAATTCGTTTCTGATCCTGGTTGAGGCTCTTTGCTGTTTTGAAAAAGAGAGGGAGAAGAAGAGGATATGAAAAAAAAAACCAAACCCATCACTATTTGGAAATATTTTCATTTAAATTAATATGTGAGGGGGGGCTTCCTTCCCTCCCCCCAAATGCTTCATGTTGCAGATATTGCTGTGACATTACATCAGTCTGGGCTGGTATAAACAGCAGCTCTTTGTTCCAGCTGGAAATCCTAAACTTGGGTTTAATTTTAACGTCTCTAGTCTTGGCACTGGGCTGAAGTAGCAAAGCCATTCCTGGCCCAGTGTGGAGGGACATGTTACAACCCACTGGTTATTCCCAGTGTTCCAAAATCCCAGAGAGAGACTGAATGGCAGGCTGGCCCTGCTGTTTTTTGTTAAATCAGTGCTTTTAACCAGGGGAGTAGTTGAGCAATCCCAACACAAAGAGCACGACAAGGATTCGTCCCAGGGACAGGTTTTTAACAGGATGGGGAAGGCAATGTTTGCTTTCCCTGCTTTTCATCCCGTGGGATTTGAGGCTGCTTGGGGTTGCTGTATCCCAAAAACCCGCTGGCTGTGATGCGGAGCGGGAGCCAGATGGCAACAAAATGAGGGGTATTAGAACACCCCAGCTGGGCCATCAGGGGTTTTTTTTTGCTCCAAAATGCCAGCTGATGGAGGGTGGGAAGAACCAAGGTGTCTGGGGTGGAGGAGTGGATGGTTTACACTCCCCCAATGTATTATTATATGTAATATATATAGATATATATATGTAATATACAGATATATAGAGAGATATATATGTAAAATATAGATAGATATAAATAACTATATAGATAATATATAGATAAAACATGAAACAGTGGCATGTTTTCCTTAAATTGTCTTTTATAATTTTCAGAGGGTTTTCCTCATGGTATGTGTTCTATACCATCACCTCTTGGGCAGGAGAGTTTCGTGTGCTTCTTAAAAACACTAAAAAATAGTTTAGTCTTTTTTAGGCACGTGGATTGTGAGAAATAGGAACTGGTTTCATCCCAGTGGCTGTTCAAGATGACAGTCGAAAGAATCAGGAATCGTTAAGGCTGGAAAAACCCTCTAAGATCATTGAGTCCAGCCAGCCCTGCCAAGGTCACCACTGACCCGTGTCCCCAAGTGCCACATCCACAGGGCTTTTAAATCCCTCTGGGAATGGGGACTCCACCCCTGCCCTGGGCAGCTGTGCCAGGGCTGGACAGCCCTTTCCATGAAGGAATTTTCCCTGATATCCAACCTAATACCCAGGAGCTGCAGTCTAAAGCAGTAAAGGGAAGAAACTCAGACATTTGGCTAATTTGTGGGTTCTTAATTAACAAAGGACACAGCGGATGGTGATGGTTATTCAGAACCACAGTTAATTTAATAAATACAAAGCACTTCTCACCTGGGCTTCCTCTCAGTATATTGGCATTATCAGGCTGTGGAGCCCTGTAAGGGCTGTTTTTGGGCAGCAAAATGTGTCCTCCATCAGAAAAAAATTCTAAAACAGCAATAAAACTCATCTAGAAAAAAAACAGAAAACAGCTAATGAGCTGTGGGTGCTGATTGCCAGCATAGCTGAGAAAAAAACCCCTGTTTGGAGAGAGGGGAATGTGTAAAACATGATTTCTGAACGGGCATTTTAGAGCCTTCCAACGACTAAAATAACTAAAAATTCACTTTGTGTAGCATAGGGTGTAAAGCAGGTCAGGCCTTTCTCTGATTGTGCTCCTGCTCTTTTCCATCTCAGTGGCTTTTTCCAACTGTGCACATAAAATACACCTGGATTTGGGTTGATTGAAGTGAAATTTTCAGAACTAGGATGGGTATGGGAGGCAGTGCCTCAGCTTTGGGATTTGAGTTTAGTTTGGGTCCTACAGAACTTGCACAGTATTTCATCAAGTCTCATGAAAATTTTGCTCTCTCTCAAACCTTGTTCTGTCCCACTCCACACCCTCATTCCCAGGGAAAGTGTGGGTTTGATTTGTGTTAAGGTATTATCAGAAATTTGGGCTATTTCTGTGGCACTCTGGCTTCAGTTCTATAAAATGCTTCATTTCAAGGAATATGAATCCCAGCAAGTGTTTGACAAATTTTCAAGGATGGGAAGGCAGCTTATGCACATCCTTTGATTTTCACAAGCACTGAAGTCAGCAGCTGATGGTGTTCATCCAAAATGTGTCTGCACATCCTCACCCCATACTCTGAACCTTCCTTCCCCGATGTTCAGAGCATTTCTATTAGCTTATCCTTTAATTAATTAATTAATTAAATGCTGAAGCTCTGCTGCAGCCTCCCTTCCTTGTGATCTGGGGTTATTTTTTCGACTCTTTGAACGCAAAATTTCCCCTGGAGCTCCGGAGTCTTCCCCTGTGCTTGTGCCTTTCCTGGGGCCCACTGGCACTGAGGGCTGTAAAATTAAAAGAGTGGCCAGGAGGACTTGGAGTGGTTCAGCAGACAGGCCTGGGAATTAATGAGGATCTGGCACATGGACTGCAATTAGTCAGCGCGGTCTTAAATTATTGCCGAACGTTTCTGGCAGTCCAGCGAGGAGAACGTTTGTCTTCCAGACACGGCGTGGTGAAATAAATGCCTCCTGCTGGCACGTGGAGGGGGTTTGGTGGCTGGTGGGACAAACAGCATGTTCTCAGCACTTGTCTCCAAACCAGTGAGGCTCATTTTGAGTGTTTTCTCAACCCCCTGCCCTCCGGGAGCCCTGGGATTGCAAAGCCTGAAGCGGTGAAATGTCCCCCCAGGGTGGCAGGAGAAGGGCTTTGCTTTGCTCTGGTCAGTGTCTGGTGGTGTTGGAAGAACCAGGAGATTGGATGTAGGTAGATAAGTGATCTTGGAGGTATTTTTCCAACCTAAATGATTCTCTGATTCTGTATCTGAAAAAGAAATCTCTAATACCCAATTTAAACCTCCTCTGGCACAACCTGAGACCATTTCCTCTTGTCCTGTCCCTTGTTACCTGGGAGAAGAGACCTGGGAGAATTGGTCTCTTCTTCCAGTTGCCACCTAAGAGCATCTTTGCACCATGTCTGTGCAGTCAGTGCTCTTTAGGTTATGCATTCCCTGGGTAGCTCGTGCCAAGTGGAAAAAATGGCAAATACCCTCTCCCTTCACCCTCAGATGCTCCCGAAAAAGTTTCAAGGCTGGTTTGGATTTTGCTGTGTATTTTATTATAATCTAATGCATTAAAAAAAGGAACACAATCAATATCCCATGTTTTTAGGTGCTGGCAGTGCTCCAGCCCACATGGTCTGTGAGGGAAGATATTTCTTACTCTCCCTCTTAACCTTAGGTTGCTTTGCAACATCGTTGTTTCCTTGTGAAACAAGACAACGTTTTAATTGCCAAACAGGAACATCCTGTCAGCAATCTGGTTTCACTTATTTACTTTAGGAGAGTCGAAATAACTTCGCTCAGATTGATTTAGCACTTGTAGGTGCCGAGATTGTTCTGTGCTCTGAACAGGTGAGCAGACGTTGTGTGTCTGGATTGAACAGACAATCCTGTCTCCCAGGGGATGCCGTGCAGAGCCCAGTGTTCTGCCTGGAGCCTTTAATTATGGTGGGTTTAAACGAGAAAATTAATTTCTCCAGCCACACTTTTTCTCCCCAGCTCTGAGCCACTTCATCCTGTAAAATTCTCTGAACTCCTTTGGTGGAAAATGGTGTGAATGAGTCCAGCTGGAGATGAAGCACCACAGAGCCTCTTGCTCAGTTCCCCCTCTCTTCCCCCCACACCCCAGTGAAATGGGGAGGAGGATCAAAGTAAAACTTGTAGGTTGAGATAAGAACTGTTTAATAATTGAAAATAAAGTAAAATACAATAATAATATCAGTAAATAATAATAATGATAACAAAGAGGGGAAAACCAAGAGATTCACAATGCACCTGCTGATTGATGCCAGAACCCCCTTCCCGAATCCAGATCAGCCTCTTCCCAGGAATTCCTCCCAGTTGATATAGTGGGCAGGATATTCCATGATGTGGAATATCCCTTTGGCCAGTTTGGGTCACCTGTCCCAGTTCTGCTGCCTCCCAGTTTCTTTTGTGCACCTCCTCCCTGGCAGAGCATGAGACAAGAGAAAACCAAAGTCCTTCACTTGGGATAGACACGATTTAGAAAAAAACAAAATCAAAACACAACACTGGGACAGCTGCTGAGAAGGAATTAAAACTCTTCCCAGCTGAAACCAGGTCAATAAGAGTCTGAGGGGAGACCTCGTTGCAGTTCCAACTTCCTGGGGAGGGAAGAGGAGGGGCAGGGACTGAGCTCTGCTCTGGGGGGACCAGGGACAGCACCCAGGGAGTGGCTGGAACTGTGTCAGGGCAGGGTCAGGTTGGATCTCAGGGAAAGGTTCTTCCCCCAGAGGGTGGTTGGCACTGCCCAGGCTCCCAGGGCAGTGGGCACAGCCCCAAGGCTGCCAGAGCTCCAGGAGCATTTGAACAACGTTCTGAGGGACAGGGTGGGATTGTTGGGGTGTCTGTGCAGGGCCAGGAGCTGGACTGGATGATCCTTGTGGGTCCCTCCCAACTCAGCATATCCTGTGATTCTGTGAATACAGCAGGTGCTTTACCAACAAACATTAGGAAACGAGTGTCCTTTTCACCTTTGGAGGTGAAAAGATTAAACATCACCTCCAAACCCTCCTTTCCCCGCCGGCGTGGCCGGTGACGTCCCCTCTCCGTGTCTCTCCCCCCCGCAGTGCGGTTCGCGCCCTACAGGCCCCCCGACATCTCCCTGAAGCCGCTGCTCTTCGAGGTGCCCAGCATCACCACCGAGTCCGTGTTCGTGGGCCGCGACTGGGTGTTCCACGAGATCGACGCGCAGCTCCAGAGCTCCAACGCCAGCGTCAACCGGGGCGTGGTGATCGTCGGCAACATCGGCTTCGGCAAGACCGCCATCATCTCCAGGCTGGTGGCGCTCAGCTGCCACGGCACCCGCATGAGGCAGATCGCCTCGGACAGCCCCCACGCCTCCCCGAAGCGTGAGTGCAGAGCACGGGGGGGGGCGAACAACTCGGGGACCTTTAGGAGGGTTTTGGTTGGAATAATCCCGTTTTTCTCTTCGGGCCCCAGAAATCAGCTCGTTACCAAGCAGAGGAAGGACCTGTCAGCAGTATGTCGTGGAGTGGTTTGGGTTGGAAGGGACCTTTAGGCGTCATCCAGTTTCAATCTGGCAGGGACACCTTCCACTAGCCCAGGTTGCTCCAAGCCCCGTCCAACCTGGCCTTGGAAACTTCCAGGGATGGGGCAACCACAGCTTCTCTGGGAATTCCATTCCAGCCTGTCGCTGTTGAGATGGCCAAAGTGACATAGAATTTTCTTTCAAAGCAGGGACAGGATTGCAAGAAGGCTGCAATCAATTTATTGCAACAGGTTGCAAACATTTGTGCTTTTCATACATCACACATGTCAACTTTCTATTGGTGCCTTCATATAAACATATATCGGGCTATACACATCATCCTACTATTGGTACACATACATCAGGCCATCCACATGTCAACCTACTATTGGTACTTTCATGTATACACACACCAAGATTGGCTGCAAAATAACAAACACAGATTTTGTCAAGTCATCCTGACTTGTAAAAAGTACAGGAAGTCCATTTCTGTCCTCCATCTTCTTCCTGTCTGAAAGTTGCCCACATTCCTCTGCATGCTGTGTTCTCCTCCTTTCAAGGGTGTGCTGTAATCCTGTTTATGTCCACTGCTTCACTGATAAATGCCAGGCTGCTGACAGGTTTGCTGTCAACCCCGACACCAGCCCCTCACCACCCTCACAGGGAATAAATTCTTCCCAGTATCCAGATCTACCCTCCTCCAGCTCAAGACCATTCCCTCATGTCCTGCCCCTCCATGTCCTTGTGACAGGTCCCTCTCCAGGTCTCTTGTGGCCCCTTTAGGTTCTGCTAAATGGGGCTTTTATACTGCTCCTGTTCCAAAGGTGCTTCTTGAGGAATCAGAATAGTGTGTCTCTGATTTCTCTGGCTTAGAAACATCTCAGACTTTCTCTGATTGGGAAGACTCCAGTTTTAGAATTACAGAAGCACAGACTGGCTTGGGTTGGAAGGCACCTTTAAAGGTCATCCAGTCCAGTCCCCCTGCTCGTGCCATCTCCAGGGAGATGAGGCAGCCAGTGTTCTCTGATTACAAATCCATGGCAGTGCATTCTCCTTCCAGCATGGATTGTCTCAGGGTATCATGGTATAAATGTTCAGGGTGGGTCACAAGCCCATGTAGGCTCAGCAGCAGGTTTACTCTCCCTCCTGTGGTCCCATCCAATTCCCATCACTCCGTGCTGGCAGGTTTGCAGGTGGGGACAACAACATTTTAAAATCACTCAGCTCTCAGTAAGCGAGTAAGACAGGACTAAAAATACTGGGTGAGGTACCTGGAGGTATCTTGGAGGATGTAGGTCACTGTACCTCAGAGAAGCTGCAGTTAAATCTGTTTACTGGAGTGCAGGGCTCTTGCCCTGTCAGAAGAGCTGAAATGTCACCGGGGGTTGGCATGTTCAATAGTGTCACTTGTCAGAGCTAAATGAACAATGTGGAGTGAAAGGCAGGGCTTGTTTCTATGTTTTAACTGCAGCTCTGCAGTGCACCAACTGTGTGTGTGTGTCCCCAGTCTGCTGGGGGGGATTGTGGAGATTAAAGAGACCACTGTGCTTAACTCTTTCTGGACTAAAAGCTGGTTTTCTCCCATGAGAAGGTGCCCTGCACCCTTCATGCACGAAGGATGAAGATCCTGACACAGTCTGGTGTGTCCATGAAGCTGAAAGCTGAATGATTCCTCAGTGTTAGTTATTGGGATGGAAACCTTCAGAATCAGTATTTAATTTGACTTTATTTCCTAGAGAGATCACAAGTCCTAGTTTAGCTGTTGAAGATGATAATTATTCTGTGAGATCTTTGTGGGTCCCTTCCAACTGAGGATATTCTATGATTCATCTCTGATTCTATGATAAGTTTCTTTGTTGTTTCTTTTTCCACATGCTGAAAAAAAACCTATTATGCTTAATGAAATCTGTGTTTAATAATAAGTGCTAATCAGGTGGTCTGACTCTGCTACAGCAGTTGTGCAATCAGCATTAGTAAAGTGGCTTCAATGCAGCCTCATCCTTCTAATTCCTGTCTCAGAAAATGAATACAGGTGACAGTGGTGTTACAGGCTCAGAATCAAGAATGTGCCTCATTCTAATGCCCAGGGTTTAATTATGGAGGCAGCATCCTCCTCCTCTGTTGTTTGCCATTAAATGGGTCATTGTTTGCATGATGATTTCCAGTCAAGCTCAGGGATGCACTGCAGCAATCCAGGCAGGAGAACCCTGTGCCAGCACAGGCTGCACTTCAGAGTGGTGTTGTTCTTAAAACATTCCTAAAATAACCAGTAATTAGACATCAGCAAGTGCTGCATGTCTTGGTGTCATTCAGAAATCCTCTGTGTGGGTTCCTGGGAGTGAAAATCAGTGTGGTTTGGGAATGTTATCCACAAAGGCCAGGTGGATGGGCTGTGGTAGCAACCTGCTGGTAAAGCCAGTTTCTGCTTGCCAGGCAAAAGAAGCAGCTAAAATGCAATAGAACACAGTTAAACTTGCCAGAGATGATTCCAGGATAATTTATTATTTGCTTGCAAGCCTTTTCCAGATCCTGGTGCTGCTCCTTCTCCTCTCCCCCTGATTACATTAATGGGCTTCAGATGGCTGTGTTAGCTGGGGCTCTCCGTTTATTTATGTTAGAAAATAGGCCCATAATTCAGAAAAATTGGCTGTCTGTGTTGAAGGAGGACTTGGAACCAAATTAACCAGCAATTGCTCATAACGAGGTCTGTTGGCAGAAGTGCAGAGCAGGAGAGCTCTGCAGTCAGATCCACCAAACCTGAAGGCAGAGCCTTCCAGAGTGCCCAGTTCACCCCATTATTGTCATTACTTTAAAGCCAGTGAAATTACAGTGGAGAAGGTGAAGAATCATAGAATATGCTGAGTTGGAAGGGACCCGTCAGGATCATCCACTCCAACTCCTGGCCCTGCACAAGACACCCCAAAAATCCCACCGTGGGCCTGTGGGCGTGGTCCAAACACTCCTTGGACTCAGATAGTCTCAAAACTGTATCTTAAAGGTCCTTCCCAAAAGTGCTGCTCCAAAAAGCAGTTTCTTGGGGAGCCTCCGGCCTGGAAATCCCTGAAATCCTAACCCGGAGTATTTGTAGGAGTTATTTTAACTTCCCTGCTTAGGAGCTGCCTGGTCTGTAATAAAGCTGTCAGTGCTTGTCCTGTGGCAATCCCTAACCTCTTTTTTTCCTTGGGCAGATGTGGATGCCAACCGGGAGCTGCCCCTGACCCAGCCACCTTCTGCTCACCCGTCCATCACCAGCGGGAGCTGCCCGGGCACCCCCGAGATGCGCCGGCGCCAGGAGGAGGCCATGAGGAGATTGGCCTCACAGGTATGGAAAACATCCTTCTCTGGCCTCTCTGGGGCCTTGGGAAAACATCAGTTGGAGTGGAAGTCCTCTTACTCACCTCAGCGTGCGCTCAAACGGCTCCCGGGGAGCCTCCACAGAGAACCTCTGGGAGGAGTTTTATTGCCCAGGAAAGTTGTTTCTCTGAGGTGAAACTCAAATTCAGACTACATCAAATACACACCCCCCTGCTACTCTGAGTTTGTCTTTCCCAGCCATCCTGCTGTCTCCTTACAAATGTTAGGATGTGACATGGGTATTACTGGAATAATTGTGGTTTTTCTTTAGCAGTGAGAACAAAATTGCCCAGAGTTTGAGCGGTGTTTTGTTGGAAAGGGTATGGTGGGGGGAGGCCCAGGCTGAGTGTTGCTGCTGTGTGTGCACTTGGGTATTTTTTGGGAAATCCTCCCAAGCAGCTCAGAGCCCTTGGAGCTGTACACAACTCACTTGCTGCTCTGGCAGGAGTGCATTGTATGGAACATATGGAACACTGTCACTTGTGTACGTGAGATTTACAGCTTGAGTTTTATTGTATTACTGAGGTTTAACCCTAATTCTGTGGTGGTGGGAAGGTGCCATTCTATTCCTTTGAAATCCGAGGAGTTTGCTCTCTCTCCTCCTACCCCTTTGGGGGGGATGGGAACAGTTAATGCTTTCCTGTGCCTGCTCCTGCTTTGGAGAGGAAAATAACAAGCAAAGTCTTTGTTCTAAATTATTACCAGGACATGTTTTGCTTGGCTTTTTGTGCCAGATACTGTCTTGTCCTGTCTGCTTTCGTGCTGACCCAGATGGCCAGGCAGGGAGAGTGTGGTGGCTGCATAAATAAATATTAAGGCTTGATCCTCTCCTCTTCCACGTGGAGTTCTTGAAAGGAATGCGATGCCCAGGTCTGGTTTTGTTCAGAACACATTAGTCATCGTATTCCTTGCAAATCTGAAGCTTTGCAGACTCCCAGAAAGGGCAGTAAAATGTGCTGTCTCTGCTTAAAATACCTCATCTATCTCAGCTTTCTTCCCCTGAGTGCTTAAGTCATCCTGCTGGGTACGTAACTGAGAAATGGATGCAGTTTTAGCTTCAGTTTCCCCCTGAAAAAGGTAAGGGAGATGGCTCTTTCAAACATTCTGTCACATCCACGGCGTAGATCACTCACTGAAGCTTTTTGGCATCTCTCATCACTGGAGAAAAGAGCAAGAAACAATCCTTACAGCCAACATTAGACCAGAAATAGGTTGTTTTATCTTGGCTGCAGACTCCTTTAGGAAAGGGTTTTAAAGCCCTGCTCATCCCTCGGCCAGAATTTTTTTTTTCAGAATAAATCCTGTGTGTTGGTGACAGAACACAACAGCTGAGGGTGGGAGATGTCCTGCCCCTCGTGCCTGCAGCAGGATTACACCCTGGGAGTAAGATTGTTCATCTCCCAGGAAATCTCCACTGCTGTAAGTGTAGATTCCAGAAATAACTGTCACCGGCTCCCAGACATGAGGCCTTGATGAAGGGATCAGTGCCAAGGCTGATGAGTTGACCTTAGAACTCTTGGAATCCCTTCTTCTGCTCAGATTGCTGACGCAGCACACGGAACTTCCGAAAATTCCATCGTGTTCAACAAACAATTCCCGGGATGAGTCAGAGCGGCGGCGCTTGATTCAGCATTCGGAGACCTTGGGCCGATTCCCAGCGTTGCTGTTAGCCTTGCTGGGATCCTTGGAGACCAGCATCTCCTCTGCCTGCCTCCCTTTCCCTGGCTGTTAAAGGCAAAGTGATCCCTGCAGATAATGGTCCTTGGATGCCTGGTGCTGGAGGGAACATGGAACCGGGTGACAGTGGTTGATTATTTGGGAAGAGCAGGTGACTTCTTGCAGCACGTGCTGGCTGAAGACATGCACTGAAATAAAGCACGTGGTTAAACCCCCAATCAAAGCTTCATTTCCTGTCACAAAGGGAAATAATTCTGAAAGTACGAGAATTTTTTTTTTATTCTGTTTTTTTGACAATAATTTGGTTTTATTGTGTCAGAGCCTTTTCCAGAAGGGCCGTGCGGCACGCTCCAGACCGCGAGTCTGATGGATTACCAAGCCTCAGGAAGAAAAATAAAGGCAAATAAAATGGTTAAGGATGTTTGTCAGATTGATAGCTGGGAGTTGTGTGCACAGTGCACTCGTAGTAACCTCCTGAGTAGCACAACTCGGCATCACCACCGAGGAATCCTTGCTGTCAACAGTGGATAAATTGATTTGCTTGGAAGGAGCCGTGCCGTGTGATGTCCTCCTGGATAAAACAAACACTCCCTGTTCCTCCCCAGCTGTGGGGCTTGAAGCCTCTGAGTGACACTGGGGGGGAAAAAGGATTACTGACCTGGCAACAGAATTGAAAATCCATTAAAATAACAGCGTGGAGCCCTTTGTTCTGCCTGCAATCACCTCGTTCAGAAAGCCCCTCACACGTGTCTGACTCGCCTTTGAGAGACCAGGACAATTCTGAGGCTTTGAAGATGCTGAACCCTCACCAGAGCAAAACCACTGAATGGCTGGGAGACAACAGTAAAAACAGTTAAAATAATTTAGCTGCTTAAACTGAGTGTCTGGTGCCACATTCTCCAGCAAGGGACAGTTTAGGAAGACCTTTATGTACATAAGCTAAAGGCTTTCCAAAACAACAAAGAAAAGAAGGGGAAAAAAGGAGTGGAATGTCCTTGGATGCAGGAGGAAGGGAGAGAAGAGCAGCACATTGCTGTGTCAGTAGCTGTGGAACAAAGAATTGTTGATGGCCTCCTTAAACAGCTTCTGTTCAGCTGGCTGAAGGAAAAAGAGCCCAAAGAAGTGAAGGACCCGTTGGTCAGTCTGGTTGGAAAAGCATTTCTTGGACATGTGTGTTTTATAGTTGTATTAAGACTAGGAGTCAGAATTGAAGTAGGGAAGGAAGTGTTGACAGTGATGGACAACCACAATTGTCAGGAATGTTTTTGGAGACAGAGGAGCCATCTGTGAGGAGCTGGATGAAGCTGTGTGCAGATGTTCCAGCTCTGCGAGCGCTGAGCAGAGCGGGATGTTCTCAGGTTGGGCCGAGGTTGTCGTGCTGGAGAAATGCAGATCGTTACGAAAGCAGATTAATAATATACAAACAGTCTTAGGTAATGCTTGGCTCAGGCTCCAGAATGCTGGTGGGAAGCTCGGCGTCCTCTCACCCACTCCCTTCCCTCTGAAAATGTCACTTATCCCAAAATTCAGAAGTTGTGTGTCTGTGATGACAGAAATGAAAGGTGAACAGTTGCTTCTCCTCCTCTGGATTATTCAGGGTTGTACTTTTCTGCCTGGTTTTCGTGCAGTGAGTTCTTGGGGGGCAAAGGTTGCATTTGTCTCTTAATGTCAGAGATGAACAAATCATTAATTTTAGAAATAAGTAACTGCAGATGACCAAGCAGGAGCTCCACTCAGTCCTGCCATGCTGGAAAAGAGCACTGTTGTGTTGTAGTCTCATGGGGCAGTTTGAAGTCATCCATGACTAAAAAAGAGAAATTTAGATTAGGTATTGGGAAGAAATCCTTCCCTGTGAGGGTGGGCAGGCCCTGGCACAGGTTGCTCAGAGAAGCTGTGGCTGCCCCTGGATCCCTGGAAGTGTCCAAGGCCAGATTGGATGGGACTTGGAGCAGCCTGGGCTAGTGGAAGGTGTCCCTGCCCCTGGCAGGGTGGTGGCACTGGATGGGCTTTAATGTCCCTTCCAACCCAAACCATTCCAGGATTCTGTGATTTCTAGTTCAGTCTTCATCAGCAAACTAATGGAGAAGAAAAATACTTAGAAATGAGGCAATTTAGAAAAAAAAACAGGTGTGATTTTTGTCCTTAAAAACCATGCCACGAAAACTATATCCACCTGCAGTAGGAGTTATGTGATGTTGTCCTCACCAGTGGGTCCTAGGGGAGAAAAACATCAAAACCAGAGGGCAGAGTTCCCTCCCAGAGCCTGGTGATCAGCTCTTGAGGTTCCTCATGTCTCCATCCCTCTCTTTGGCCAGAAGTGGAACCTTTTGCCACCAACCACAGTATGAGGGGTTGGATACAAAGAAAAGGGGTTTCAGTAGCTTTTCCTGAAATAATGAGGGAAAACAAGGAGTTTAAAATGGAGACTGCTCTATCTGCAATCATTTCTTTTCCCAGCAGCCCATCTTCTGCAGATTTTGAAAGTGGGGTGATCTTACCTGTGGAGATTAGTGGAGAAAATAGCAGAAGTACAACACTGCCTTTGTATAATTCACCTGAACTATCACCCCAGTCTGCTCTGGCCATCCTGTTCCAGCTCCTAATGCTCATTTTGGATATGGTTTGAGTTGGAAGGGGCCTTAAAGATCTTCTAGTAATGATCAGTTTAGAGAGACAGTATTTCTAAAAGGGGAAATTCCAAGTCTTGCTGTCACCCCAGGGTCAGCTCAAGGTTGGGCTTGGCATTGTGTTCAGGGCTGGCATTTAGACAGGGATAAGGCAACGTGCCAGGAAACTTGAGGCATCAGGATGTAAATGCCTTGCCTCCCATTTCCTTGCAAGGAAAGTATTAAATATGTGGCCACGTTAATAGCTGCTTAGCAGAGCTCTGTGAATTAATTTCCTAATTTTAAAGGTACCATTAATCCTCTTGTTGGGAACTGAGCTGGCACAATCTTCTTTTTCCCCTTCACTCCTTGGCTTCTCCTGCCTCTGAGCAGCAGCTGAGGCAGTGGCTGCTGATGGGCATCCCACCAGTTGTGGGGGTGTGGAGCAGCCCCAGCAGTCAGCAGTGGACTTAGGAGCAGTCCTTGCTGGGCAGGTATCCATGCCTTTTCCTCCATCCCATCTCGGGAGGGACTTCTACCGTAACATGGAGCAGAGAGATTTTCAGGGCAGGAGGACAAGAGCAGTTGTCTCATGGGAAACTCTCAGAAATCATGAATAAAACTGCTCACATTGCAACGCCCAGCTCGACACCTGCAGATAAAACAGAAGCATTCCTGGCAAAAC